CCAGCCTCGCAAGGCTGTGCTGCTGGTGGCGATGTCTGGCTTGGCCTGCGCAAGGTTTGCACAAGGTGGAGAGTGGCGCTGAAAAAGCAGCCCAAGAAACGGCGCCTGAGCAAGCAGCCGAGAAAATGGCGCTGAAAAAGCACCCCAACCACCAACCCCACCCCACCCCCCACTCCCCCCACTCCACACCACCCAGCCTCGCAAGGCTGTGCTGCTGGTGGCGATGTCTGGCTTGGTGCGCAAGGCCGGGCAGGCCAAGGGTTTGCACGGGGTGGAGAGTGGCGCTGAAAAAGCAGCCCAAGAAACGGCGCTGAGCAAGCAGCCGAGAAAAAGGCGCTGAAAAAGCAGCCAAAGATACGGCGCTAAAGAAGCAGCCGAGAGAAGGGAAAGGAGGGGGGAAGGGGGGGGGGCTTGCCTCCTGGTCTGAGTCGGGCTTTTTAGTGTTTCTGATAGGTGCTTGGCAGGGAGCTGACATGATTCTCATAGATTTCTGCCAGGGCTTTGAGAGGGTCCTGATAGGATTTGGAATGGTTAAGATAGGGTTCTGCAAGGGTTCGACAGGCAACTAACATTGGTTCTGATGGTGGTTGCACTAGCATCGGTTATGATAGGGTTCTGCTAAGGTTGTGATAGCGTCCTGATTGGTTCTGACAGGGTTCTGCTAGGGTTGTGATAGGGTTCGGATAGGATACTAATATTGGTTCCGATAGGCCTCTGCTAAGATTCAGATAGTGTTCTGATAGGGTCTTAATATTAGTTCGCATATCAAGACCAGCAGACCACACTAGCCTCGAGACCCGCCACACAACCGTAACACCCAAAGCCCTCAACCCTGACCCAAGCACACAAAAACTGTGACAGCTCATCACCACAAGCCTAACTAACTTTCCGGCAAGGCTCACAGTGCACTGCCCGGGCTCCCAGAGCATTCATTTGTCACAGCCTTTCAAGCCCAAGCGGCGCTGAACAAGCAGCTGCTAGCTGGCGCTGAAGAAGCAGCCGCAAATGCTGTTGCATTGTATGTTTGTATGTATGTTTGTATGTATGTATGTATGTATGTATGTATGTATGTATGTATGTGTAATGTGTGTACGTGTAATATGTGTATGTGTAATGTGTGTATGTATGTATGTATGCATGTGTGTATGCTGAGGGGCATTCAACTGGGGGATAGCGAACACTGCATGATATCGAAGCACTCACAGTTGCCCGGCCATTTACTTCGGAATGTTTAAACTTATCAGGTTCACGGGCTCGGGGTCAGGGCAAAAGCCGGTGGTGTTGAGACTCATGAGGCTTAGGGTTATATTGATGACGGTGTCAAGCATGTGCCAGGAGGCAATCTTTGTATGTTGATCACAGAGTCTGAGGCAGTGCTATTCTACTGCAGTACTACAACATAAACCAGGTGCTATGATTCTGCTGCTTAATCATTTCCCAATGAGTTTCATCTGAGAAGGGTACTGTGGGATGAGGTCTCGCCTCCCCTTTGCAATCGCCACTTCCAGAAGATGTCCGAGCCTGAGCACTGGAGTGCTGCTCGGTTCTGATAGGATTCTGGGATGGTCCTAGACTTCTAAAGCTAGAAGCTTTAACAATTTTATTACGGGCGCTTCCACCCGAAGCCACTGTCAAGAGCAGTAGCCACGAAACACTAGCCCAACCCCTGAACCGAAACACTGGGTCTCGGATTCCCTGGGGCTTCTTATGGGGGTTTTCTGTGTGTAAGGGTTGAGAGACAATCCTGGCATCAAGGTGCTGCTTCAGAACCAAACATACAAGTCACGGATTCAGTGTGTCGGAGGGTGGGCTCCACAGGGCTCCAGCAAATCACAACAAGATGTAAACCTTTAATAAACCAAATCCTTGGGCATCAGTGACGAGTTTGGGTGGTTCAATCCAAACCCTAAACCCTAAACCCTTTGCTTCGAAATAGTACAGGGCAGGTTTGCTGCAGTGCAGTTTCAGTTGAAGGGTCAAAGGGGGGTCCCATGCTTTGCAGCCACAGTGGCGGCCCAAGTGTGTTTCTGGTGCATATGGTTTCTCCTGCATTTAGAACATCCAAATGTTTCAGATCAGCTCATCTCAGAACATTAAAGAAGCTGTTTCTCAATCGAGTGTCAAGGATTGCTGCATTTATTTTGTTACCTTGGGTTGCCAGTTGAAGATCGTTAGGTTATAGCTACCTAACTACCATCTTGTATATAAAGCCATTCAAGAACTCGTCATCAAAGCATCTCCCGTGGCACACCAGTCCAGACCAGATGTCTGACTACTGAAACTTCAAACCCAATTCGAGGAATATGTCGACCTGTGACGAATCAAACGTCAGTCCTAATTGGAGGAAGCCTTCCAGAAGCCCTTTGCAGCCATGGGACACGCTGGCAAAGGCAAGAAGGGCAAGAGCAAAGACAAGGGCAAGAGCAAGGGCGACAAGGGCAACAAGGGCCACTCCAGCGACAAGGGCAAAGGCAAGAGCGACTCCAGCGACAAGGGCAAAGGCAAGAGCGACTCCAGCGACAAGGGCAAAGGCAAGAGCGACTTCAGCGACAAGGGCCAAGGCAAGAAAGGCGAGTGGGACTACAGCGGCAGCCGTGCCGGCCAGGGGCCACATGCTCCAGAGAAGCGCAAGTTCCGGGGCAGTCGTGTCCCGTTTCAACTTGTTCATGTTTTTAAACTTAGCCTTTCAGGTTTTGCAGTAGGTAGGGAGCGGCCTTCTTTTCTAGAGTTCCCGGTTTACATTTATGGGGTTTATGGTTTAGGGGTTTAGGATCTGGTCTATAAACCCTAAACCTTGAAACCCCAAACCCTAAACAACACTCAAACTCAGGCAACACCCCGTCGAAATGGCGGAGGGTGGGGCGACATCAAGGCGAGGCGGAGGCGGATGAGAAGGTGGATAACTTGCTGGTGTTGACGAAGCAGATGCGAGCTCGCATCAACCAGCTCGCGGAGGACTTGATGGTTGCCCTCTCTCAAGGTCTCCTCGGGCGACAGGAGTGCGACACCTTGCGGAAGCAGCTCGCAGATGCAGAAGAGTGCTTGCAGGAGACGACTGCAGCCATGCAGAAGCGCGAGAAGGAGCTGCAGGGCAAGGTGGCTCAGGTGGAGGGAGATGCCCAGAGGATGGCCATGGAGATGAAGGGCAAGGTCGCTCAGGTGGAGGGAGAGGCCCAGAGGATGGTCATGGAGATGCAGGCTGGGCTGGACCAGCGGACGCACATCTGGAGTGCTCATGCTGCGAATCTGTCCGGGCAGCTGCAGATCGCGACGCAACTTGTTCAGTTTTCGGGAGGACTTTAATTATTGGTTTGACCTCATAAAGCAGCCCTACAGAATAACAGTACACTACACAAACTCAGGACAGACCTGGACACTGTGGAGACAAAGCTGAAGACGGTCATGGCATCCCGCGACAAGGACGTGCTTGAGGCTCAGGCCGAGACTCTGGAGCACAAGGGCAGGGAGATGGCCTTGGAGGCCACAAACCCTGGAACCTTAAACCCCGCAAAGCCCAAACCATATGCCTCAATTGTCCCTCTGTGTGTGCCGAAACTCGAAGCCCTGTATGTGAACCCCTGAGTTGGAGCTGGAGCGGGCCCAGAAGAAGGTCAAGGGTCTGGAGAGGGAGAACCGGGCCTTGGCCAAGGCCCGTGCTGGATCGGGAGCGGCAGGCAGCTCTCAGGACATCTGCCAGGGATTGTTCAGGGGTTCAGGGTTGGTTGAATAAAGCTTTAGTAAGGGATTCAGGGCTGAAGGGTTTACAGTGTTAGGAGTTGAAGCCACTGTCATTCGGCCGAGGATCACAGGAGAGGCCAGCAGTGACGTTGCCTGCTGCTCAACTTTACAGTTTTTGCTAAGGGCTTAGGGTACATGTCCATTTTGGCACTGTAAATCCACACTTCAGGGTGCACGTAAGGTTTAAGAGACAAGCCCATTTTTGTGGATTAAATTTGGCGCGAAATAAATCTAGGGTCAAATCTAGGGTCCTTACTTGATGCTTTCTTTGCTACAACACCTCAGGATGATGAGGAGCCCGCTTGATGGCTGCTTCTGCTCCTGAGGGCTGCTGGGCTGCTGCTGTTGGTTCGTCAATCTGAGGGCCCATATGACTTGCCCAGCTTTAGGGACCCAGGCCTCGCCACTGGTGCTTTTCAGCAAGACTTCAAGAACTAAGGGTCACATACAACTTGAAGCATCGGGACACCAGAGGCATGCTAGGGCCTTGTAGTTTACCTGCCACCTGATAGGTAGGGCCTTGTACATTACCTGCGAAGCCAGCCCAGTGCACAAGCTTTTGTGAGTAGATGCTGTAGAGTTACATAAGATGGCCACACTGATAGAAGTTTGGTTCCGCAGCAAAACGGCAGAGCCGGGGCAAGGGGCTTCCACTTGCAAGAGGTGTTCCTGAGCCCGAAGAAGGCTGTACCCCTAAACCCTAGGCCCTAAGACCTTTTACTTTAATAAGTATTAATATCATGCTTCTGGGTTCCTAATATTAGATACAATAATATAGACCACGACCCAATTCTAATTTGGATGTACATCGTAACATGAATCGACCGGGACAACGATGCTAAGAATTGCTTCCCCTTGCTGTGTGAAGGAACACAAAATCAACAGTCAAGGGGCCAATGATGCCTTTAGCGACTGTGGCGGTCTGTACACTGCGTTTCACCTCCAGTCCACATCCTGTGGCAAAAGGCAGGAATGCACTTCAGCAGCTGACCCCAGTAAGCCAAAAACCCTCAGATTCCCTGTAAACCCAGACGGACTTCACTCATTTGTACCCCAGACAACCCATCCAAGAAGCCCACCTTCTTGTCCTTGCCCGTTGCATCACTCTGGCCTACACTCAGGCCGGACGCTTCGTCGCAACACTGCAGAGTTTGCTGCCAGGCACTGTTTCAAGGGAGGCTGACAGCTGGTTTCCACTGGTTTCAATCTTCTGCTGCAGTGCAGATAGTCGAAGTTAAGGTGAAACTGTGCAGTTGCAGCGCTCAGAGACTTTTGTCACCAAGTGCTTTGAACTTCTGCAGCCCTTCCCGTCTCTTCTTGTGCCGCCAGGCATTTCGAGATTGCTTTGGCTTCTCCTTGGCAGCTGCCTCGGTGTCCTGCTTTGGTGCTGCTGTTGGGTTCCGCTTCTCCTTGGGAGCTGGCTCGGTGTCCTGCTCGGGTGCTGATGTTGGGTTCGGCTTCTCCTTGGGAGCTGCCTCAGTGTCCTGCTCGGGTGCTCTTGTTGGGGTCGGAGTAGGTAAAAGCGGGATGGCATTGTGCTCCACTGCAGCCACCAAGTCCCTTTCTTGGCTGTGAACATAGTGCTTCTGAAAGGTCTTCACATCAGTTCGAGCTTGTAAAGCCATGATGGCGGGTTCTGACGGTCCAGGGGCACCAGTGTCTGTTTTACACAGCAGCAGTGCTGCCGCAGTGTGTCTAGTGGCACCATGCACTGTAATGTGGCTACTTCGAAAGGCCAGCTCAGGGTTGAAGCACCTTTTCTTGGTCAGCTGGAACATGATTTTCCTTGATCGGTCTATAGCAGTCCAAACAGATTGCCGACTTAACCAGGGGCATTTCGATGAAGATCTGGGTGACGGGAACCACAGAGCATCCTCCTCCAATCCCTTTGGCTGGAACTTCCCAGGTGCTGTAGTATGCACATTAGCAAACAACTCTGGATGCGAGGCACGGTAGCTCTCCAAGATCGACCAACGCTCAGTTGACAGTCCAGCACTCAGGAACGTAGTTATGGTGTCCTGTGCAGTTCGTGAAAGTCTGGATACAGCAACTCCGCCCCTCAGCTTTCCCATGCCTGGATGCATCTTGTCACAGCTTCTTGCTTGGAACAGAACATGAGCTGTGTCACATTGCGGCCCTCCAAACAAGAAGAAGTCCTTCCCCCGAATGCGCAAGACCTCAGAGATGCGTCTCTGACTTATCATGCAGAGCCAAACCACTGCCAAGTAGACAGGACCACAGAAGAGCAGCATCACTGCCCAAAACAGCGGCAGATCTTCCTTTTGCAGAAAAATATTTTGCGAGTCTGCCACTGTCTGTCGGCGACCCTTGTTCCATGGAGCCTTCCTTTTTGCAGCTGCAACTTTTTTCTTGCATCTTTTCTGGCTGGTCTGTTTACCAACCTTCCCCATGAGGACACCTAGGCACGGAAATAGACTTTGGCTAACTGGTTGCTGGCTGCAAGAGGCAGTAACCCTAAACCCCTAGACCCTGAACCCTAAACCCGAAACTTAAAGCCTGAGTTCTGTAAGTGCAGCTGAAGGATTCTTGTTCATCTTTTCTGTGCTATCTTCCTTGATGTTCAGACCTGAGCTTTGGCAGTGTGCTGGTCCTCACAAGTACTTCACATGTCTCTGCACTATCTGGTGATTCTGCAAGAAAGAGTTACAGAGTGGAGCCTGCTGAGATGGCATTGGAGCGTCGCTGTCTTCGCCAGGAACGCAGAGTCGGGCATAGACCTGTTTGGAAACTAGGTTTTATGGGACCCAATCAATGGATTACATTGAGGGCGCTGAGAAAGCAGCCTTTCAACTGTCGGCGCTGAGAAAGCAGCCGCAAACCTGTTGCATGGATCTGTTGCATAGTACCTAACTCTGAGCCAATTGAGGTCAGAACCACAGTCAACCACAGTCTGAGGTCAGGGCCTCAGCACAGGAGGCAGATGGAGGGAGTGACAGGAGGAGAGAGACTGAATGGAAACATACAGGGCAGAGAGATACAGAGCAGAGGGTGCTGCACACAGACAGTAAAGAAAAGGGAGAGGGAGAGAGGGAGACACAGAGAGACGAGACAGTGATAGAGATGTACAGAAAAAATAAAGAGAGAGAGAGAGAGAGAGAGAGTGGGAGAGACAGGGAAAGTAAATAGAGCTTGAGGAAGAGGGCAAGGAGGAAGAAGGTTTTGTTTGTCCCAGGGCTTTCGGGGCTTCGGATCGGATGCAGGAGGTCTTGGGATAGGCTGAGGAAGTGTGGCTGCAGAGATATGTGGGGTCGCACAGGGTCTTCAACGAGGTGACAGGAGGGATGCCCAGACTTGTTCCGGAAGGGTCCAACAACCCAAGGTCCCGACAAACTGGACCGATTCCGACGAAGATTCAGAGATCCACTACTGCGGCATGTTTGCCATGATCTGTCTCGAATGCAAATGCAACAGTGCCAGCACGCGCGATGTCATGACAGCACATGCATGAGGCAAGATGCTGACTGACACTGATGGTGATGATGATGATGCTGAAGATGATGACAAGATGAATTCATGGATACATATCATGACGGTCAATGATGGTAACACTGCTGGGTTCATGTCACTGGTATTGTGCACACATACATGAACCACGAGAGGCATCATACACATCTGCTGCCCATGTCGAAATGAAGCACTCTGGCGCTAGGCGGCCCTTGCGTTAGGAAAGGTGCTCTTGCGATGCCGAAGGCGAAGAATGCATGCATTATGGTATGTTATGACAACTGAGCATGATAATGGTTTCGCGCATTGAGGCTTCATACAGGGGTTTCCCCACCTACCTTTGGCACCTACCTTTGGACCTACCTTTGGGCGATATCTGAGTTTTGTTGCCAGCCAGCCCCCTCTATCTATTCATGAACCCTTATTCTTCCAGCAAGTCCTTTTAGACGTTGATATCAAAGGTGCTACATTGTGGGATCAATAGTAATGCGTCTTAATGCCACACAGGCCTCACTGAATGAGTAATGCCCTTACAGGAGCTCTCCAGGGGATCATTTTGAAAGACTGAGAAACTAAGTGAGGGAGAGACATACAGGATGTGGCGCTGAACAAGCAGCCAAAAAACGGCGCTGAACAAGCAGCCGAAGTCTGGGCAAGAGAGAAGAAGGGACAGCAGCAAGCAGAGAGGAGAGAGGAGAGGAAAGAGCTCTGAGATGAGAAGAGACTGGAAAGACCCGAAGAGGTAAACAGAAAAAAGAAACACAACAGAAAGTGCAGCCAGCAAACCTGGAGGGGCCTCATAGCCAGCAAACTGCAAGGGGCAAGCTCAGGCTCACCACAAACTTACAGGGGCTAACGGCCAGCAAACTCCAGGGGGCTGCAAACCAGACACAGACAAAGAGAGAGAGAGAGAAAAACAAATATGTTCTGAGAGAACAGAGCCAAGCAAAGATATAAGAAAGTAAAGAGGAGAGAAAGAGACAGAGACAGAATGAGAGGGAAAGAGAGAGCAAGAGACAGCAAGATTAAGAGCGAGAAACAGACAGAGAAAAAGACAGAGAGAGAGAGAGAGAGATGAGAAAAGATACCAGGAATAAGACCGCATGTAGAGGCCACAATCCACACAATCCTCTGGGAGAGCCAGACCTTTTGATTTGACAGGCTGTACATCTCTGATAAGTGGACGTCTAATGGAAACGAATGAAAATTTGCTTCCTAGACGCACTATTGGCAGCAGTACTCATACCAGTACGAGTGTTAGGATTACTGCTTCTACTGCTACTGCGACTACGACTACTACTGCTACTACTACTACTACTGCTACTACTACTACTACTATTACTACTACTATTACAAGTACTACTACTACTACTACTACTACTACTACTACTACTACTACTACTACTACTTCTACTACTTCTACTACTTACTACTACTACTACTACTACTACTAGTACTACTAGTACTACTACTACTACTACTACTATTACTACTACTACTACTGCTACTACTATTGCTTCTACTACTACTATTGCTACTAGTACTGCTACTACTACTACTACAACTACCACTATATCTACTACTACTACTAATAATAATAATAACAATACTACGACGACAACTACTAATACTACTACTACTACTACTACTACTACTATTACTACTACTAGTACTACTACTACTACTGCTACTACTACTACTACTACCTACTACTACTAGTACTACTAGTACTACTACTACTACTACTACTACTACTACTACTACTACTACTACTACTACTACTACTACTACTACCTACTACTACTAGTACTACTAGTACTACTACTACTACTACTACTACTACTATTACTACTACTACTAATACTACGCACTTGTAATTGTACTGCTGGTGACTACTACTGCTGCTAGTTGTAGTACTAGTACTAGTAGCAGTGTCACCAGTAGTCAGTAGTAGTAGTCGTAGTAGTAGTAGTAGTAGCATTTTCAGCAGGGGTAGTAGTAGTAGTAGTAGTAGTAGCATTAGTAGTAGTTCTAATAGTAGCAGTGCTACTAGCAGTAGTTGTAGTAGTAGTCCTCGTAGTACAGTCGTAGTAGAAATAATGGTAGTAGTAGTAGTAGCAGTAGTAGTAGTCGTAGTAGTCGTAGTAGTAGTAGTAGTAGTAGTAGTAGTAGTAGTAGTAGTAGTAGTAGTCGTTGTGGTAGTAGTAGTAGTAGTACTAGTAGTAGTAGTACTAGTAGTAGTAGTAGTAGTAGTAGTAGTAGTAGCGGTAGCATGTGGAGAACGGAAACCCAAAGGGGCAGCACGCACCCTCGTTTTCCGTCCAAGCAGAAAGTCCAACGACCGTGACAGGTCGAACGTCCGCCCAGGACGGGCTGCGCGCAATTGCGTCGCGGCAACGAGAAGCTACCAACGACACACTGCCGTGCTCACTTGAGCCAAAAATGTTATGAATACGAATTACAGAAGAGCATGCATAAAAGCATACAGCACAACAGCCAGCCCGCAGACTATGTACAGTTACATTCGCCCCTCAGCCGAGAGCACGATAGAGCCGTAGGATTCCGCGGGCGGCCGGAGGCCGTAAAACTGACCTACAGACCCTGCCCTCCTACAAACCCTTCGCACTCAGCACAAGACCTTCGTTTTTCACGGCCTGTGCTGCACGAGGCTCTGGTTTCCTACTGTACACAGCCTGCGCCGCACTGCGGCCACAGGGCTGGTGAAACGAGCAGCTGAAGCTGCGGCGTTACTCCACGCGCTTCGGGAGCACTACCGTGCCTCCCTAGCCGCTCCCGTCAAAGACCTGTAGAGCGGATACGCCACCCTGTCGTCTCATCGGAAAGCAGCTAGGTGCTGCGACCAAAACTGAAGTTGCCACAGGTGGCTAGAAGGGCGGAGCGCAGTCCGCGACTTCTAGTCCACGGTCACTGCGGCTCCACGTTGGGTTGCGCGGCGGGCTGCTGGACATTTGAGGGTTTTGCCCGCCCGCGGTGGTTCCGCTGAGGTGCTTCGAACTCCTCGAGCTTCAGCGCCTTGGACCACTCGGTGCCAAACGAATCTAGCCACTTTTGGCTAAATTCAGAGGTCAGCACACTGGCGACCGCGATGCCGACCTCCGCGTTGGCCCGTGAACTAGCACTAAAGTTTAGGCTTCCTATCACGGCGCTAACTGTGGAGTCCGGCCTCGTCACGAGCACCGTCTTGGCGTGGTGGATGCCCGCGAGGCCTGCGCCGATGCTCACGTCCGTGCGGTTCTCGGCGGCGTAAGCCGCCTTGACCGAGGTGCCCTTGCCGACACGGACCTGGACGCCAGCCGCCCCTAGCTCCTTGAGGGACTGCAGCTGGAGCTTGGTCCGGCTCGTCTGCGAGTTGTCGGCAAGCACGTGGGCTCGGGCGCCTCGCTCCAGCGAGGACACGAGGGCTCCAACCAAAGGCTTGCTATCGAAGCTGTAGGCTCGCACGTAAACGTGGTCCCCATGCCCAGCGTCCGATAGCATCGTTTGTACCACAGCGTGATACTCCGGAAGGGTCAGAAACTTGACCCCGGCTCGCTCGAAGCCGTCAGGGATCGGGAAGTCTCTGACACGCCGTGCCTGGCTCGACATGGGAGCTGTCGGAGCCGGAGACGCCGCAGAGGTACCCTGGCGGGAAGCCTCCGCTGCAGGCGTCTTCGGAACAGTCTCTGTCGGAGGCGCCGACACTGTGGCCACCTCGTGGCGGCCTCTGAGCTTGGTAAAGCCGTCAAGGCAACCCTCGGACGGGTTCCCGACATTCCGAGCTCTTTCAGAGAGCGATCTCGCTTTCGACACCATGCCGGCAAGGCACCCCTGTTCCAGGGCCGGCGCGCCGAGGATCGCACGGGCGCGTCTAGTCGCGGCCGGGGCGACGGACAGCGTTGGGGCAGCGCTCGCGCCTGTCATGGCCACGAGTTGCCCCGCAGCTTCA